TGAAAAGAAGGACTAAGGGTGTCATGATAGGAGCGTTCCAATATCTCAGGGGTTGCCACAAAGAAGAGGGAGTCAAGCTATTCTCCAAAGCACCTGAGGGCAGGACAAGAAGCAAGGGATGGAAACTAATCAAGGAGAGAAGGAACCTAGAACTAAGGAGAAACTTCCTGACAGAACAATTAACCAGTGGAACAACCTGCCTCCAGAAGGGGTGGACCAGGGAATGCTCCAACACTGGAAGTTTTTAAGAAGAGACTGGACAGCCATTTGTCTGAAATGGTATAGGGTTATCTGCCTGAGCAGGAGGTTGGACTAGATGACCTCCAAGGTCCCTTCCAACTTTTGATGATGATGATGATGATGTTGTTGCTTCTTCAGTGGAGGAGATGTGAAACGTCTTCAAGGAAAAACAAAGAAAGTCCAGTTGCCCAAAAAGCACCTTTGGGACAACCCTGACCTGGATGACTGGAGAATCTCCAGAGACACTTCTGAAGGGCAGCCAATTTTCTCCCCCCTCTGGGCATCTCCAGTTTTCTTGCAGATACCAAGAAGACCATTTCTAAAGAAGAAAGAAATGGATGGGAAAGAAGAGTTGTGATCCCCTCCCCCCCCATTTATTCTCCCCTTCCAAAAACATCAGAAGGTCAACAAGTTTGGGAGGCAGAATATATGCAGGAGGTAAAAAGGGTTTCAATAGATCCAACCCACATTTTCTCCCAAGAGGGAAATGAAATACCAAACGGAATACTGCAAAGAAATAATACCTGGTTAGGAGATCTATTAACCGTTAAGACTTTGACTTAATGGTCTCCAGGACCCACTTTATATAGGTAGTCCTCTACTTACAACAGCTCATTTAGTGACCGTTGGAAGTTACAACGGCACTAAAAAGTGATTTATGACTGTTTTTTTTATAATTACGACCGTTGCAGCCTTCCCCAGGATTACGTGACCAAGACAACTGGCATGTAATTTATGTATTTATGACCATTACAGGGTCATGTGATTCCCCTTTTTGTTACTTTCTGACAAGCAAAGTCAATGGAGGGAAGCCAAATTCCCTTAACGACTGTGTGACTAACTTAACAATTGCAGTGATTCACTTAACAACTGTGGTAAGAAAGGTGGTAAAATGGGGCAAAATTCACTTAACTGTCTTGCTTAGCAAGAGAAATTTTGGACTGAATCGGGGGCCGTGCGTTGAGGACTACCTGTATAGGATCGAGGCCAATCAAATGTCAGAGTTTAGCAAGGGTGTTGTCTCGGATCCCCTGATCCTGCAAGTGTTGGGCTATACACTAAACTGGCAGGGCAGGCTGCCCGCTTCCCCCGGTGAACTTTCTTGTGCTTGGTGAGATCCGAACTCGAAATGAAACGCTTCCCACACTCAAAGCAGGCATAGGGCTTCTCCCCGGTGTGGGTCCTCTGGTGAGTGATCAGGGAGGATTTCCGATTGAAGCATTTGCCACAGTCCAAGCATTTGTGGGGTTTTTCCCCCGTGTGGATGATGTTGTGGTTCAGGAGATTGGAGCTGGTGCTGAAGCTTTTCCCGCACTGGAAGCACTGATACAGGTTCTCCCCCGTGTGGATCCTTTTGTGGGTGATCAGGGGCGCTTTGGCGTTGAAGCTTTTCCCGCACTCGGAGCAGCTGTAGGGCTTTTCTCCCGTGTGGGTCCTCTCGTGGATGATGAGGTGAGTCCTCTGGCTGAAGCTCTGCCCACAGTAGGAGCACTTATACGGCCTCTCTCCCGTGTGGACCCTCCGGTGCATCATCAGGTTGGTCCGCGTGCCAAAACCCTTCCCGCATTCGGCGCACTCGTACGGCTTCTCCCCCGTGTGGATTCGCTTGTGCGCGATGAGCGAGGCGATCTGGTTGAAGCTCCGGCCGCACTCGGAGCAGTGGTACGGCTTCTCGCCCGTGTGCACCCGCTTGTGCCTCAGAAGCTGGGAGCTGTTTCCAAAGCTCTTCCCGCACTCGGGACACTCGTACGGCTTCTCCCCCGTGTGAGTCCTCTCGTGGGTAATCAAGGACGACTTCCAGTGGAAGCCTTTGCCGCAGTCGGCGCACTTGTGGGGCTTCTCCCCCGTGTGGACGATGTTGTGGTAGATCAGGTTGGAGCTGGTCGTGAAGCGCTTCCCGCACTCGGAGCAGGCGTAGGGTTTCTCCCCCGTGTGGGTGGCTTTGTGCTTCAGGAGGGCTGCCTTGGTGCCAAAGCTCTTGCTGCACTCGGAGCACGGATAGGGTTTAGCCCTGGCCGCAGTTCCCTGGTTGGAAGCTAGGGGCGCTCCGTTCTTGAAGGTCTTCCCACACTGAGGACAGATGTAAAATTCTTCCGGGTCCATTTTCTGATTGGCAGGAAGGTCATCAACCTCACAAAGGTGTCCGCACTCTGTGCATTTCCTTTTGCTTTTAGTCTGGATTCGATTTTCTCTGACGACGTTTCCATCACCTTCTTGGCAAAGCGGGGTCTTCTTTGGATGGTCTTCTCCGAAGCTCTGTAGTTCCGGCTGATTTCCAGGCTCGGCTTCTTTCTCGTCATGGAGTGGGAAGATTGTCCCTTTGGCCAAAGATGTTTGCTGCTCAAGGATTCCATCTTCTTTTGCCTCTATGTCATTGTTACCTGCAGGGATCAACAGAGACTTATGAGTCACGATCCAATAGCATGGAGAATCCATCGTCGCCAAGTTAGGGTATAACCATAATCTTATGCTTCATTAAGGGAAGACGATTAAGATGCCAGTTTCAAAACTCTGATTGTATAGTTCAGGGCTTTTCAACCTTTTCACCCATTGTACCACTTTTAGGATATGGCAATATCCGAGTACCACCAGTCGCCTAGCAAGGTGTCAAAAACTTGATGACAAAAAAAATGGCACTGAAAAAAGTGCCCCCCAAGCCACAGCTGAGCAAGACACCTGCCTGCCCGCCTGGCGGCGCTCTTCCTCCTGTCCGAGGTTTTCATCATTGTGAGCATTTCTGTTGAGGATTGGCAGCGGGGGTGGGGTGGGGGGTGTTTGGTTTTTATTCCCCCCGTCTGCTGGGTGGCTGCAGCAGGTTTTGGTTACTTCACATGACCCTGGGACACTGTGACCGTCATAAATATGAATTAGTTGCCAAGCATCTGAATGTAAATCACAAGACCCTGGAGATGCTGCAACATTCCAGCTGATCGGCGCTTCTTCTGGGCTCAGCAGAAGCACCAGGATCAGTGCTGAGCTCCAGCTGGAGCCTGGCGCTGATCCTGGCGCTTCTACTGAGCCCTGACAGTCCCAAAGAAGCGCCGATCAGCTGGAAAGCGGCACTGATCCTGGCGCTTCTGCTGAGCCCTGACAGCCCTGCAGCTCCAGCCATCTCTCGCTCAGGCTTGTGCGGTGCTGCCACCGGTTCAACACATTCTCCTCCCCTGCTACCACTTTTCTAGGATGGTCGCGTACCACCTGCCAGGTGCCAATGTACCACAGGTGGTACCCGTACCACTGGTTGAAAAGCCCTGGTATAATTCATCAGGTTTAGGAACACATGATTCATTAAAGTGAAAGAGGAAATTCACCCAGTTCTTTTCCCATTATGTATTGTCAAAAATCACTGCTTTGATTTTTATCCATAATAAAAAGGGTAACAGTTTGTGGCGGAAGGGAAATCTAATTTTGGAAGGCCAAGTTTAGCTTCAAAATCTTCTATGTCTATCAGAAAGATTCTCAGGTTTACAATACATGTCAGAGTAAAATTTTAAGAGCGTTAAAGGCACCAGTTGGAAACTGGGAAACCAAGAGTTCCAAGTCTCACTTTAGGCACAAAGCCAATTGGGTGACCTTGTGCCAGTCATTCTCTCTCAGCCCTGGAAAGGAGGCAATTGTACACCACTTTGAAAATATTGCTAAGAAAACTATAAGGCTGGTATAAGACTGACTCAAGGGTACCCGCAAACAAACACATGAAAATTTGTATCTTCGGGAGGACTACATGTGAGGCCCGTTTCAATGGTCATGTAGAGTCATGGAGATGATTTTGAAATAAGAAGAAATAGGGGAGACATGATAGCAGTATTCCAGTATCTGAGGGGCTGCCACAAGGAAGAGGGGGTTCAGGTTGTTCACCAGAGCACCAGAGGGAAGGACGAGAAACAATGGTTGGAAACTGATCAAAGAAAGAAGCAACCTGGAATTAAGGAGAAACTTCCTGATAGGCTAATCAACCAGTGGAACAGCTTACCCCCAAAAATTGTGGGCGCTCCATCATTTGAAATTTTCAAGAAGAGACTGGAAAATCATCTGTCTGTGATGGTATAGGTCAGTGGTGGCGAACCTATGGCATCCAGAGGCCACCCAGAGGCGGCACCCAGAGCCCTCTCTGTGGGCACACACGCCGTCGCCCCAGCTCCGCCACCCCGTGGCCCCCTCTTCACCAGCAGGGACAAGACTCTGCCCTCGCGCCCCATCGCGTACAGATGATGCTGTGGGGCGCGAACAGAGGGCATGGCCGCCATGACACTGCTGGGCCGCCTGAGCGATCTGTGGTGGGTCGTGGAGATGGTGGGTGGCCCTGTGGGCAGGAGAGGGGGCGGGGCAGGGGCGAGGCAGTTTTTGGACACTCGGTCTCTAAAAGGTTCGCCATCACTGGTATAGGTTCTCCTGCTTGAGCAGGGGGCTAGACTAGAAGACCTCCAAGGTCCCTTCCAACTCTGCTCTGCTCTGCTCTGCTCTACTCTACTCTACTCCACTCCACTCCACTCCACTGTAACTCAACATAGATGATGGGAGCATAACTGGCTGGGGAATTCTGGGAACTGAGGTCCACACATCTTCAAGTTGTCACGATTGAGAAACTCTGCACTAGAATAGAAGAGAGGAGGGAAACTCTAGTCCACAGGTAGGCAACCTTGGCTCTTTTATGATTCGTGGACTTCAACTCCCAGAATTCCTGAGCCAGCATAGCTGGCTCAGGAATTTTGGGAGTTGAAGTCCACGAGTCATAAAAGAGCCAAGGTTGCCTACCCCTGGTCTAGTCTATCTCAGTAAAGTTCCATGGTTCCTGTGGAGTTTGTTTCCTGACCTCGCTTACTTTGAAAGGCTGACAGGCTGTGACAATTTTTCATCATTCTTCTGATTCAGACAGTATGTCAAGATCCAGCCACATCTTTCACCATTTTTCTCAAGATCTTGGGAAACGCCTTTTCCACCCCGGAGAAGGACAGCATCTTCTCTCTTACCTGTACAGGACCACGCCTGGCCCAGGAATCTTAGATACATAACAAAAGGCAGTTGGAACACTAATTAGGATTAGAGGCATAGTGGTACCAACTTACCTAACAAAATTTCCTGGTCATTCTTTTCTTTGCCACCACTGGCTAGTGGCCCCTTCTCTGTCTCATCAGACAGCAACTGCTTGGAGACTGGGCTTTTAGCAGGCACGTTGCACAAAGATCCCGGCATCTGAAAGCAAAGTAAGGACAACTGAATGAAGATTCAAACAGGACACAATCAAGACGAAGGCCAGAGTTTCTGGTGAAAAAGCCACATGTTCCATTTAAGCCACTGCTTCCCAAACCTGGGTAAATTACCCTAAATTAGGTAATAGGGGTTTTTATTTGGGTAACAACACACAAACCCATCACAACGGGAACATTTAAATCGGGGGGGGGGGTGTGTGTCTTCAAACTTGGCCCTTTTATGACTTGTGGACTTCAACTCCCAGAATTCCTCAGCCAGGCAAGTTTGAAGACCCCACCCCCATTTTAAATTGACTTAAGGATTGCCACGTGTACTAAAAAAGGGCTTTTCAACCAGTGGTACGGGTACCACCTGTGGTACATTGGCACCTGGCAGGTGGTACGCGACCATCCTAGAAAAGTGGTAACGGGGAAGGGGAATGGGCTGAACTGGTGGCAGCACCGCACAAGCCTGAGCGAGAGATGGCTGGAGCTGCAGGGCTGTCAGGGCTCAGTGGAAGCGCCAGGATCAGTGCCGCTTTCCAGTTGATTGGCGCTTCTTTGGGGCTGTCAGGGCTCAGTGGACGTGCCAGGATCAGCACCAGGCTCCAGCTGGAGCTCGGCGCTGATCCTGAAGCTTCTGCTGAGCCCAGAAGAAGCGCCGATCCGCTGGAATGTTGCAGCATCTCCAGGATCTTGTGATTTACATTCAGATGCTTGGCAACTGATTCATATTTATGATGGTCACAGTGTCCCAGGATCATATAAAATGACCAAAACCTGCAGCAACCACCCAGCAGACAGGGGGGGGAATAAAAACCAAACAGCCCCCCACCCCACCCCCGCTGCCAATCCTCAACAGAGGATTGTAACTTCGAATGGTCACTAAGCGAACTGTTGTAAGTTGAGGACTACCTGTAACTTTATCACTTTTTCCCTTTTTTTTTTAATCAAGTTTTTGACACCTTGCTAGGCGACTGGTGGTACTCGGATGTTGCCATAGCCTAAAAGTGGTACAATGGATGAAAAGGTTGAAAAGCCCTGTACTAAAATACAGAACAAAAACGACATGTGGCTGACGTATCCAAAATTGTTTCACGTTAAAACACAACCGTGGATATCCCAAAGGTGCTTTTTTCACGAGGCAACTGGACTTTCTTGTTTTTTTCTTTGAAGACGTTTCACTTCTCATCCAAGAAGCTTCTTCAGCTCTTCTTCAGTGGGCTGAAGAAGCTTCTTGGATGAGAAGTGAAACGTCTTCAAAGGAAAAAAACAAGAAAGTCCAGTTGCCTCGTGAGAAAAGCACCTTTGGGCTAACTATGACCTGGATGACCGAGAATCGCCACAGACACAACCATGGGTATCTCCCACGGGTTTAACAAGTTTGCTCTTCTGTTGCAGCAAACGTTATAATTGGCAACAATTCCGGGGTCGTCCTACAAAGGCCCAGGGTAGGTAGGGGAACGCTATTCTAAGTTCTTGCTTTATGTTACGTCAGCCTAATAATCCAATCCTTCTTGCTCTGTCTGGCAACAGATCTCCAAAAGTCTTTCCCAATCCATTAGATCAGGGCTTTTCAACCTTTTCACCCATTGTACCACTTTTAGGATATGGCAACATCCGAGTACCACCAGTCACCTAGCAAGGTGTCAAAAACTTGATGACCCAAAAAAAAAAAAAAGGAAAAAAGTGATAAAGTACAGGTAGTCCTCGACTTACAACAATTCGCTTAGTGACTGTTCGAAGTTACAATGGCACTGAAAAAAGTGCCCCCCAAGTTACAGCCAAGCAA